AGAACTAATGCCGCTTTCAGGGTACCCGGGGTATCCACCACTGAACACATGTCACACCCAAAAGGCCATCTTTCAGAAAACAAATAACTCAAATTACTATGCAGGGGGAAATGGTCACTTTAACAAAATTATGAGAGCCCGTCTAGAGCAAAGACAGAAAAGTATATTTCTCACTTCATTGTCATTATTCAGTTGTTCGCAACTGTCTGTTCGTACCCACAATGGAGCTGGATGTTTAGGGAACCAAGGGGAATAATTCTAAGGGGTAAAGTGACATGAGGAAAAGGATGCCATATGCGAGGGTGTTTGTCCTTTAAATCGAAACTTTAGATTCGTCTATTTGTTATTGTATATCGTTTAAATGTTCGATAACCTCTGTAAATAATAACATAGTTTGAAATGGTTTTGGATAATATTTAAAATAAGCAAGGAGATTATGTGGTTGATTGATTCGTGCTGTTACCAAGCTGAGATAAATGTTAGATTGTTTTTATAGATATGATAGATATACACATATACAGAGAATACAGGATATACTTTGCTTAAAGGGGAACCGACATAGTGTTTTATGCATCATAAAGTTTGGTCCAACGTGAGAGCTTGTGCAGGCGACCCCACATCTTGATGCATACAATCATGGGGTCGAACTTTCGACATTTACATCAATGACATACTTTATGATCCACCGAGTACAAGATAGACTAATCAACCACCAAACAAACGTATATGCCAAATAAAAGAGAAGGTTGCATCACGTTGTGAGCATGCGCATAAATGAATTATGACGCTTATTATTTAGTATTGCTATGATACATCCTGGTAATGTTGTATGGACGTTAAACCCCATCAACTAGCTTTTAGGTGTTTTAAATCTATTTATCAACTCGAACAAGTTGTCGTTAAACATAACATAGGCAATATCAACAATGCATCAGTTTAAACTGGTGACAGGTAGATGGTGATTTTAATGTTGAATGATTTGAGATCGTATTTTTACATTTATCATGTAGATGCCTTTAACGTAGAATGATTTAAGATCTATTTTATTACTTACCATAAAACTTTTCCTCGGGGTGTCTCGTTAATGTAGAATGAATAAAGATAGAGAGTCCCTTTAATGTGGAATGATTTAAGATACGATTTTATCATACGACTTTTACCCGGATAGAGTATAGCTCTACTGCGGAATTATCATTTATCATAAGGCCTTCCTCCCGGTAGAATGTCGCTTTTATTTGGAATGGTTTATGAGCTGTTTTATCATTTATCATAAGACTGGTGTTCAGGTAGAGGGGCCCTTTAATGTGAATTGACTTAATGTGTGCAGATCTGCTATATATTTTATCATTCGACCTTTTCCCAGGTAGCATGTGCCTTTAATGTAACATAGTTTATGATCTGTTTTATTATTTTCCACAAGATAGAATGATAGTATTTATTATAAATATGACTTTTTCCATGCAGAAAGTGCCTTTAAGTTAGATTAATTTAAGATGTTTTATCATTTATCATCAGATTTGTTAGATTGCCTTTACACTGAACAGCCGCATGTTTACATGTGTATTTACAGTTTGTAAAAATAATATTAACTTGGATGACCTTGTAAATATGGAGAGCTAGATAGAATTTGTATCACAAAGTTTTAGATAAAGGACACGATCTCGTTGACCTAGACCAAACTACATGCAGGTATTGATTTACTCGGATTTCGAATATTTTGCTATTATCACGGATTGATTCAGCTCAAAAATCAAAATAATAAACCAGACGAATTCCGCTTATTGTGCTAAACTAAAAATTCAGCGCATTTCAAACTTCAATACAACGCGAGGGTTTTGTCGGCGGAGGGGGTTTAAATATCTACATGGATTGTTCCGTAGTATTGTAGAGCACCTAGTTCTGTACTATCCTGATTATTTTTAAAAAATTACGATTGGTGGTTTTTAGGTTTGGTAGATAAAAAAAAACGAAAATCGTTTCGCATCAAATCTCCCGTTAAATAAATGGTTGTTTTAAAAAATAAAGTAAAATATTAAGGTTGTTATTTTTTAGGTTTCGTAGATAAAAGAAAAACCTGTGTAAACCTTTCACGGCAATAAGAAATGGTATCGTGCACTTAATGTGTCTCTTATATAGATTTAACTGGGTATTAAAGGATAATATCGGTGTCAGTCATTATAAAATATGTGATAGAGCTCGTTAAATACATCCCAAATATAATTTTAACACAGAGATCATTGCTACGGAAGACGTGTAACAAGCACGTGAAGAAACGGGAAGTAACGAGCGATAACAGACAAACGGTCGAATTTCAATTCACTGATAATTCAGTTGAAGACGAAAAGTTGTTATATAAGACGATGGGAGGATATCTGACAATTCAAAAAAAGAATTGGCTGTCAGTTGATAAAAGATAACGAACAAATTAGAAAAAGTCCGTGCATTACCATGTTTTTATTAAGAACAGAATGAATAAAAACGGGGGAATACACGGAATTTTTCTATTTTTCTCGTGTCCCTTATCTAGTGACAGCCAATTCTATTTTTGAATTGTGAGATACCCTCTCACCGTCCCATATAATAACTTTTCAACTTCAACGGAATTATCAGTGAAATGAAATTCGATCGTTTGTCTGTTATCGCTCGTTACTTCAGTCTGTTATATAGAAGGACAACTCGTGTTTGTCATGTTTGGCGTCACTTCCCGTTTTTTCACGAGCTTGTTACACGTCTCCCGTAGCAATGATCTCTGTGTTAAAATTATATTTGGAATGTATTTAACCAGTTCTATCACATATGTAATAATGACTGACACCAATATTGTCCTTTAAAGGCAAATAAAATCTGTTATCACTTCGCATTTGAGGAGCTCATTTGACTTACAACTCTTTGTTAGTTGTGTGTTTAATTCAAAACAGATCGATCTATTTTCTTTCGTTTTAACAGAGATTTCTGTTCGCAAATCCGTAATATAGATACTATAATGGATGAGATATAAAAAATGGATAATGGACGAAAAACGAAACGGTAAATATGTATTTTAAATAAATACTATTAATACTTGTTAACTCGAACTTCGAACGAAAACGCACCAGAATTGAAATATCAACGTACTTTAATCAGATCGAGAAATTCCAAGCAATTCATTCCGTGCTTGATTTGTTTTCTCTATTGATATGTTGAGGTGAATCGGTACACTAGTAAATGTTGATTATACGTATATTGTATAGAAGAATTTTATTCAGGGTATAAAGGTTGTCGACAAGAATGAGTGATTGATTTAGCAATTAATGTAAGTAAATTTCAACATTTGCACTACCAAGCAAATCGGGAAATGTTTTTGTTATTGACGTTGCTTTTAGCAAATGTTTAATTATTAATAACTTAAACTAGGGTCACTAATATGTCGACCAAGAGTTTTAGCGACATGGGTGAAAGTCGAGTTAAATGCGAATTTTAAAAAGAAGAACTAGATCTGATCGTGGATGGCTTGCAGCATCAAAGGAGATAAATCCCGAGATGCTGCATGGATAATAGATTATGGGTGTAGCCGTTTCATTGGATAAAAGTTTAAAGCACAGTGTTAATTGTAACTATTAGCTAATGAAAGAAAGGCTTTTATTGCATGACAGGAAGGCCGAAACGACTCACCGGTGAACCGGTGTACCGCGAGTTTTTCCATAAAAACGATGAACGATACTTTTTATAAGAATATCGATAACCTCGATTTTTTTTTTCAATTTGAGGTTCACGGTATATATTCACACTGTATCGTGATATTTATTCAATAAATTAGGCGGTAGGACGTACAGAAATTACGTATCAGTTCAGTGTAAAGAAAAATCCCGTTAGAATAATATGTCCCTGTTGTCCAGGCTTCATATCATTGCAAAAACTGACCTACTAATCTCGTGCAAAATTCTCCCCAGAATCTGATAGGACAATATATTCTATTGGACAAAATACCGGACGCAATCAATTTTACGCCAATTAAATCGCATTTGACACTCATTTCGTCATTGCGGTGCCGGTGGCCCTTACGAAAGTGTTAAAATTTTTGATTAACTTTCAGTGGTATTTTCCTTTTGACTGTTATTATGTCCGGATGCATGTCCAGTATTAATTACACTATGTGAAGTTGAGATCGAAAAACTTTCTGCATCTTACCGATCGAATGTGTGGGACCATTTCGGATTTTCTTTTAACTACGGTACCTGACTTTGTTTGACTTTACTTGATTGTCTGTGTGACTGTGTGATTGCATACTTAAAGGCTCAATACCACTCTTGTTGTAACTGAATAATATGTCTCAATCTTTATTCTGGTCAACAAATTGTACTATTTTACAATATTCCAATTAATTGATGATACAAATTTCATCTTAACACACCTAATTTAAAAAATTTGAAAAATTCAACTAAATGATTTGAAAAGCCTAACGTAAACCTATTCAAATGTGACATGGAATTAAAAATATTTTTGAACTCTCTCGACAAGTAAAATAGGATTTAATGGATAATTTACACAACAGGTAAGACACTAACACATCTAGTACTTAGAATAAGGCTATTTTTTTATTTTCTGGAGCTGTCAAGCCGGCAAGAGTGTTATTGTCCCTTTAATTTTGTGTCAGAGATTGTGTATTTTGATTAAATTTGATTCAAAAAGTGCCAAAGATATTGGTTAAATATTAATTTTATTTATCTAATGATAGACAATATAACTTTATTTCATGCAATGTTTGGTCAATTTCCAACGGTAAAAGCATGTATCGTGATGCACCCGTGTGGTTGGGTTGGAACATGATACTGTATCATATCGTGGCACAGTGTATCGTTTCAGATGTGACGATTGCCATTAATAAAATCATTCAGTTTGATCCATTAACTGATTAATTATCAGAAATCCATAATATTGATTAACCATTCCCCATTTTGATACATACCTAAAATCATGTGTTCAAATTATTGCATTGAACGGATATTTATAAACATTTACAGAGAGACGGAATGTGATGATTGGTTGAATAAACTATGGTATACCATGATAAAAAGATACAAACATGTTGGCAATTGAACCTCCAGAACCGATTTGGTTAGTAGGAATTATTGTTTTATTTATGTTTTCGCGAAACCATTATGATGTCAGTTTCGTTTCGTTTCGTTTTATTTCTGGTGTTGAAAGCATTGACATCTGTCACGTTTTTTTAGGTGTCGGCGTCAAGATCCCTTGAACTAACTGGCTAATCAAGTCATCTGTAGGTTATTTTCGAGACAGTTAATTCGTTGAGGGTTGTGGAGAACGAAGGATAAAGTAGACTAATGTAGTAGCTTACATGTAAACACATGGAGCTTGGCAAACCTGATAAAATCTTGTTCTTGTTTAATGTAATAGATTTTTAAGGAAATGAATTCAGTGAAACGCTGTTCAATGTCTGCTTGTCAACCCAATACTTCCCATTTCATGCGGCGTCTACATTTTCCCGCCATATAATCTACGTCATTGGCCCTCGACAGTTTGAATTCTTAGGCAAAAAAAGAATAGGTGTAAACGCCCGTCAGCCACGCAAGTCCCGTGTACACAGTGGTGTGCACGTAAAAGGTCCTTTGGCAGTTGGAATTCGATATAAGACTAGAAGAATTTCTTATGTAGCTGTATTCATTTTGTAATTGTAAACATCAAAAAAGTTGTTGATTTTTTGTAGCTGTTTTATTAGATGGTTTTATAGTAATGAAAGCGTGTCTTACACCAGTTATAATAATACAAGCTATATAATGATGGCGATACAAGAAGATTTATAGGAGATAGGTTAGCTAAAGGTGACTTATAAAGAACATCTGTTTTACCGGTTGCCAAATTTTAATACTTATATCTCCTGCTAAATTAAGACATGAATGTCTTATAACCGGTTTGCCGTGGTACCCAGTTTAGCTGGGCACTGTTTGCATGGGATTAATATAGACCGTATCAGTTATGTGTCGATTGGATTAAATTTGTATTCATTTGGTCTTTCACTTATTTTGTCTTTATTAAACGTTTCTAGATAGCTTTTAAAATTAATTTTAATATCTGATCTTGGTGATGTGTTTCTTATGATTATTAAGTCTACGTATTGGTTTTACTTTATTATAATAATATGTATTGTGTATGCGTGATATGTATTAACAAATAAGGTACCGAGTCAAACAGGGATCCGGGTCAAACCGCGACACCGAGAAACTAGATTTTATCATTGCTATAAAGCAGATACAAATCTATATTAGACATTTAGAAGTAGACAGTAAAGACTTATATAAATACCACAGTTTAGATGGATATTCTGATTTGTATTTGTGTGAAAATTCGCATCTACAAGTAAGATAGAATTTACCTATCCGGAAATTTTGTGAATAGCATGATGCGGGTGTTATAAACATTGAAAATATGTGTGTTGTTTTCAGCGGACTATTAAATTAAAACCACACAACCCATTCCTTTTTGATATCTTTAATGGAATGTTTTTTTGTTCTTAAAGTAGCTAAGTCTCTAACTCAGTATCATCCAAAGTCTTCGACATTGAAAACACGAATTATTTGTCAATTTATATCAACAGCGATATTGTGATCTTACCTTGAAAAGATGGCCATCTGATATCCAATGTTTAAGACAAAATAAATATTTTACCATTTGAACACGAATCGTGTACCATAATTCGCTTCAGCGCCATTTGTAACAAGGGACTCGAAGAACGAGGCTAGACATATTCCACAAGTCATGCCAAACGGTGACGTCATATTCGTATCTGAAGAGCATGCGCAATAAAGATTTTCGGTGTAGACTGGAATAACCATATGCTAGAGATTGCCATTCGATTGAGACTGACTTATTTCGTCGGACATAACTGATTTGAAATTAGAGTAAAAACAGAAAAGATTGAATGTAAATCAGTTTATATACATTCATATTACATTATTATATGCGTTGCGACTTATTTGTGTCCATTTCTAGGTCCCAAATATGAGCGATTTAGCTCCTTTCAATAAGACTAAAGCTGCATTTCCTTTAGTACGGTTGCGGATACGGAAAAAATCACTTTCATAGAATTTTAGTAAGAGTATTTCCTTATGTGCGGGCGCGGATACGGTTCTCTATGCGGCGTCCGGTACGGTTTTTCAAAACGGACCATGTCGCGATCGATACGGAAACGCATGCGGAACCGTTTCCGTAAACGCACATAAGGAAACACAGTTTGGGTAGCCCGCACGGCAAAAAGCTAAAAATAGGTAGGGAAATTCCAATTTTCGCCCTTTCTTGAACACGTGTTCATGGAACCAGAAAAAGAAAAGAAGGAAATCGAAAAAACTGATTGAACTTGTACGTAGCAATCGATGCCTGTATGATGCAAGCTGTGCAGAATCTAAAGATGCACAACTGGTGCACAATGTCTGGGAATCGATTTCCCGGCCTATGAGTGATCAAACTATCGATGTATAGTGACTGATAAGCAGATTGTATTCTATCATCACATCAATCAACTGTATCGCACATATTTCATTGCTGTGCCATCGTCAGTTTTGCTATATAGTTTACATTTAAGCATGTTGAGAAGAGAGCCCTTCCGCTTGAATAACCGCATATAAGGATATACAACCTGGACCGGATCCGTACTAAAGAAAGTTCAGCTTAAGAGTGTTAATATTGTTATCCGGATATTTTGTGAAAAGCATGATGCGGGTGTTATAAATAGTGATGAAAATATATGTTTTTTCAGGAAACTATTAAATTCAAAACTCGAAAATTTGCTAATTACTTAACATCTGGTAATTAGTTGGCATAGTGTCAACACCGTACTGTATAGTTCCTTGAAATAAATAGGCAAACCTGAGATATTTTAAATTGCATTTTTTAATTTATATCTATTATGGTATAAGGTACCAATTAAATACATTGTTATATATTTATTTCTACATTGATACTGTCGGTTAAGAACCAGAGTTTTATTTTTGATATTTGAATAATTCATGGTCGACATTAGGGGAAGAAATTGTTAGTCTCACATATTTTCTTGGTTCAAAATCTTTTCCCAATCAAACTCACATATAATTTATATATAGAACAACTTCAGCTGAAGTCTTTAATTTCTCGGTTATTTTCACTTAACTGACTAAAATAAATAACAGAATATGTCGAACACCCATTACACGGGCGGCGAATATTGATAATGATCGAGTTTAACTTAACTGTTAGAAAAGAGAAAATTAGTGGGAAATTTGAAATCAGGTTGATTTAGTAAAGTATAAAAATAGCATATAGTCCGTGAGACTAGTATCTTATTTGTCTAGGAAGAATTACCCTTTCGGCTGACCAGGAAATGTAATTGAGAACCAGACAAGACCCCCGGGCTGTTCTATACTTTCATGATATTCTTTAACCTTTTGGGTAATTAAAGAGGAATTTATTTTGATCGGCCAAGTCAGTTACACCGAAGATTCTTAAAATGACTTAAAATAGACCTCTTTGATCTTGTAGGATAACAATCTGTTTTAATTAGACATTTTATGTCTATAGAACAAGTTTAATTAGACATTTTATGTCTATAGTTCAGGAAGGTTTGAGATATAAGCAATCTGTGTTCCACTGTCGACACAGTAAGCCCTGGTTAAATATATATATTAGTAAAATCTTTCGAAACAAAACATTAAAGCCATGTACAGAAGGACCGCATTCTAATATGATGTCTTTAATATAAGAGTTTCATTATATAACTGGAAACTACACAATAGCCTGGAAGTCGGGTGTTCGATCCCTGCATTGGCCAAGAAACTTCATCCGGATTTTCCGGCGTGGTCTCCCCTTGTCAGTGATGCTAATCTTTCGAAACAAAACATTAAAGTCACGTACAGATGAGCCACATTCTAATATGATGTCTTTAATATAAGAGTTTCATAATATAACTGGAAACTACACAATAGGGGGGTCACGCTGGCTCGCTAGCCTGGAAGTCGGGTGTTCGATCGCTGCATTGGACAAGAAACTTCATCCGGATTTTCCGGCGTGGTCCCCCCTTGTCAGTGATGATGAACGAGGGCCTGACAAGGACAGTTGTCTAGTCGTTCGGATGGGACGAAAAACCGAGGACCCGTGTACACATTGGCGTGCACGTAAAAGATCCCTTGACAGTTGGAATTCGATATAAGAGTAGGCTGTAGTGCCCCTGTCCAGGCAAAAATTCCCCCATACACACTGTATGGCGTATGCCCGTATTCATTAGCCCAGTTCGGAGCATTTCTATACAATAGTAATAATAACTGTTCCGATCGACAGCCATTCATATAATGTTTGTTTATCTGAATCCAGGCCCACAAGTCTATTTACATGGAGAAACGCTACCAATATTGGGTGTCTACGATATCACCCTTGGTGGAAGTGGACGTTAAACGCGAGGACACCAATATTGGGTGTCAACGATATCACCCTTGTGTAATCAGGGTACCGTGACTGAAGATTAACAAAATGAAATGAAATGGGGTTTAACGTCTTACTGTTCTGCTCCGACTGGGCTAATGAAGACGGGCATACGCCATACAGTGTAATATGATGGACATTTTGCCTGGACAGCGGGGATACGTCTTACTCGCATATCGAATTTCACCTGTCGAGGGATCTTTTACGTGCATGCCAGTGTCCTATCCGAACGACTGGACATTTGCCCTTGTCAGGCCCTCCGTCCTGCATCACTTACAAGGAGAAATCACGCCGGAAAATTACGAGGAACGTTCTCGGCCAACACTGGCAGCGAACGCGCGACTGCCAGACTAGCGAGCCAGCGTCTTACTCACTTAGCCACCTTTGCTTCCTAAAAGAGAACGTACGCCTCACTTTATTTGGATATCTGTGTGATTTGTCCCGGTTGGGGCACACATGTAGGATGTTTAAACACCCTATCATTCATTCATTATTATACAAATAAGTTCTGAGGGAGGGGGTGTGTGGGTGTAGAAGTGGTTGATTAAAAGATACATTATGTCAGATTTAAATAAAGAGCTGGTCGTCCTTGCTTTTATAGTTCCAAAATAAACACCGGTAATGCAATATGAATATATTGAAAATTTCATTCAAATTAGATAATGTATATTTAAATACTATAAGATCCAATAGCTAAACTGACATAACGCAGCGCTTTTCAATATATTGAAAGTTTCCTTCGAATTACTTTATCATTGTTTGAAGTTTTGATAAGATGTTGCAATATATTGTTTATTACCGTAGCCGGCACTTGTTAATCAAGTATGTTCTAATCCATTTAAATATCCACCATCCGATGTTCTAGAGAGTTGGTTATAGGCTACTGGTGTGAAAAATGTCTAAATAACAATTCATATAATCATGGACCGTATAATACATATTTGAAGCCAAAGTAAATACCGGCAATAGGCAAATTTCGCTCTTAAAAAATGCATCTTTAACTGGATGTATTTTTTTTTAGGTAATTAACCAATGTAAAAATATTAAGTGCCTGTACTATATATACAGTAGTATATACAATGAAATATAATATTTAAATAGAATGACAATTACTAAAACATTCAATGCTACTTTCTAATGGAAATGGAAATCCAGACAAATCCCCCATTATGTTTTTGCAATCTAAGGTTTACACCACCATTAAGTATAATGGCATGACACAGTCACCGATTTTTAAAACATCGATGTAATATATGTCCAGCTATAAACAATAAACACAATGTAGAATTGCTATTAGTTTATACCCATCTCATTGAACATGATCATCGAAAACATTTTCAAAACAAACATTGAATATTTCACCTTTGCTTTGTTCACTTTCCAGTTAACCCAAGTGTTTTCGGAGACAAAAAAGTAGCCCGTTCGGTAAAACGTCACAAATTCTCAAGATTACATGTAAGTAATGTTTTTTATATCAATGGTTCCCAACCCATTGTTCGTTGTGATGCCATTCCAGTAACCATCAACTGATCGCGACCCCTCGAAGATAAAGGGTGAGCTTTAATTTGCTATGAAACATCATCATTATTTACAGATTAAAATTTTGTAAAGAGAGACCGAGGAAACAAATCGTGAGCGTGAGAGAGGAAAGGCGATTGGCAATGTGACAAGAGGTGTATAGATCTAAAATTTACGAGGGCTTGCTGAAAAGTTTTAAACCTATCTGTGAAAGACCTGTACAAAGTCGATGGTTTCCAGTTTTTCGTACATCGCCCTCTTCGATGTTGCAAGGCTTGGATGCCGGCCAAGAAGACATTTTCTTTAGCCACCCTAAAAAAAAGTTGTTCACAGCTGATATATTATCATCACTACTAGGAAAGGGACAATTGGCTAGTTCCTTTTTCATTTTTGGTGAAGGTCATTGGCACCCATCTGGCAGAAAACGATTATCATTCCTACGGCAATATGTTAAGTGGCCAATCTTCGATCAGCCATCACAATGCCATGCACTCAGGTAATGATTTGTGTAATGGTTGCCGTTGATGGTTTTCCAGGACACGGGTAATCGTTTAGGCTCTCTGCTATGCTCATATTCCACATCCCATTTCTTTACTGTGGAAAAAGAAAGGAGATCATCCCCTCGCCTGCGATAATGTACTCAACCCTCTCGTGTGAGATACCGACAACACTGACAATATGTCGATCAGCCATCGCCATGTCATGTATCCGGGTAATGTTCTTGAATGGTTGCTGTTGATGGCCTGCCAAGACGCTGGCCATAGATTAAATTCCACAACCCACGTCTTTGTGCAAAAGGAAGGGGCATCATCCCCTAAACTTAAGTGGAGATCATGTCGACATGTATTTGTGTTGAGATTAGTCCGTTCATTTGCAGGAACTTGCTGGCTGCACTATAGCCAGTGTGTCCATTTCTGGTTATTTCAATGGGTAGGTTCACAAGATGGTCTAGAACGAAGACAATAATAACACTACAGTGACAGTTCTTATGTCTATGATTCGGGACCCAGAAGTTGGGAACCCAGGTTTTATATGGAAGCTCAAAGCCACTGTTCTCGGACGAATGAATTTAACCATATTTAGAATAATGTGACACATATGGTGTTCAGTGCTGTGTTTCCGTATTTTGGGCGAGTTGGTCATCACACGCTCGTTTCACATTTTTGTAAAATATGCATATCTTTGTGTAATTAAAGACAATAAATTATTAGATTTGTACTGGTAACAAACAAGGGCATCATTCTGGTATCAATCACATCTATATCAATCTGACTGAAATCAGATGTTAATTACATTTCGTTACATTCTTATTGTATTACATGAACATCTGACGAGTTTTCTGTATAAACGTATTCCCCGATCAAATTGTCTGTATTGGCATAGTTCTGTATTGTGTTCGCTCGCTTACTGGTCTATAAAATAATACATGTAGTAGCTTGGGTATCATAAATTCTATCTATCTGGTTGTATCCAGACAGCTGCGTTGACGGATTAATGGATATGGATTCAGTATAGTCAAAATGCTAAAGGAGTTCTGACACCTTGTCAATCACCCGAAAAACTTCTTGTACTTATGCTCTATAGTTGAATGGTTTCTTGAAAATTTCATCTCCGCCAAGCAGTTAGGTTGATTTGAAACCCGCCATGTTACAAAAGTGATTGTAGACCAAAAACTTCTTGTACTAATTCTCTATAGTTGAATGGTTTGATGAAAATTTCATCTCCGCCAAGCAGCTAGGTGGATTTGAAACCCGCCATATTACAAACGTGATTGTAGACCAGTGTTCTGAATAAAAAACAGAACATAATGTCTGTCATTGAGTAAAATGGCTTAGTTTTTGAATCCCTTGTTGTATGTGACAAGTAGGGTCGCCTGTTCAACACTGTAGGTCTTCTCCGGGTCATCCGATTTCCTCCCAAATAATAAAGCTATAGAACCCTACGTGCAAGCTAATAATTGTTCACATAACATCGTGCGATATTTTTTTCGAAATGATATGGTTTGTGTTGAGTTGACGTTAAATCTTTAGCCTCTAGAGCGTCCACAAGATATTTTAGAGTGATCAAGAGAAATCGTTGAAAATCAATATGCTACTTTGTCTCACGACCTTAAATATTGTGTATCAATTTAACGTCAATCGGATATTAACTCGAGCTTCTAGAGCGTCCACAAGATATTTCAAAGTGATCAAGGGCGATAATTAACTCTGGCAGTAATTATCTGAAAATGAATAGACTTCTTAAACACTGTGTATAAATTTAAAGTTAACCGGTTATTAACGTTAGCCTCTAGAGCGCCCACAAGTGTACGTGTAAAAATATATCGATGTATTATTTTCATCTTGAAGTCCCTGCCGGGAATTTCATTAAGAAGTCAATAAACAATCTCCGTGGAATAACATTTTGATCCCACCAATTATAGAAATAAAACCAAAGCCCATTTGCCAATATTATATCAAGGTTACTTTGCGAGGAACATTGGTACTCCAATTAAATATTAAAAGTGTGTGTTGCTTTGATGTTGAACTTGGGGAAACTGTCTCGATATTGATATAATTTAAAGTTTGACTAACCGTCATCCTAGCCTGGCCTATAGTATCTACTAATAATTTCTTACAATAGTAACCATAGGTCGTTGGTTGTCTTCAGCTTTTAATATTATAAACCAAATGGTTGATATTGGCTTTATAGGAAATCTGTCGCAAATTGAACATTGATCTTAGCAATGCTACAATTCTGTCCAGAGAGACCCCACTGAGCTGTCAAGTGGGGCGCATGGAGTAAAGTTAATGGGGAGATAAGAATAGGCCATATATAATCCATTTTATAATAACACCCCCTAAAAACAGTAGATATTTCATTAGATTTGATGAATTTTACACTGTAGTGCCACTGATAGGAGAGTCATTCTTTCAACATTGTCATTTAAGTTTTTTAGCCCCGGTTTCACAAAAAATATTGTCAGACTTAAGTCAAAAATTTACTCAAAATTGTTCACCTTATTTTAACTAAAATATAGCCCTTTATAAAACTGTTTAATGTATCAATTACATCAATAAGAAACTATGTGCAATTTTTTGTGGTTTTTGATCAAAGATGTTTCTTATAAACAGTGGCTGTAAGTTGAGTAAATTCTCCACTGAAGTCTGAGAATGCTTTGTGAAAGCAAAGTAAACTAAGTAATAACACAAGCTTAATCTTGGAAATGAAGCATGTCCATTTTTGAAAATGTTATCATTATATTTATTTACTTGAAAATTCTTAAAACACAGTACTGAATCAGTTAAAGTATTGATAAATTGTATCATATATTACATCTTCTATTTTCTCTTCCAGATGCTCAAGATAAATCCATCACGTATATCTCAGAGGTAAAAACTATGTATTAATTTAATGTAAAGACTGTTCTTATAAATTAATAAGCACACCCGAGAATAAACCCTTAACGAAGAAATGAATGGCTTACAAAAATTTTGAACCGTTATGTAATAGACCAAGTTATCTTCCTCATTGAAGTGCACGTTTTTTTTATTTAAATTAAGCCAGAAAAGCTCCACGTGGGTCATACTTAATCCTTCCGGAATAAAGTAATCTATCTCGCCTCCACGGATAACCTTTCCAACGTTACGATCCAATGATAAATTCTGGGCATTTGAGCAAATGATGGAGTGCATTCCAAAGGAATAAAATAATCTATCTCGCCTCCAGGGATACCCTTCTTCCACTGCTAAGATTCAATGATAAATTCTGGGCACTTATGCAAATGATGAAGTGTATTCAGCAATGACCTTTACGTTTATCTTAATTTATTAAACGTAAAATAGTATGAAAGTCCATTAGCATACCCTGATATTTTTCCCCTGGTAAGTAATATTACCTGAGATTGATATATTTTAAGCACAATGATCTGATACGTTCATATTTTTAATGTACATGTATTAGTAATGTTGTGTCATGTCCGTGGATAATTGTGGATGTGTCTTGCAGTTCTCCTGCACTTACTAATAGAACCAAATTCTTGTATTAACTCTGGTATCCTTATCCATTATTTATTTAACAACATTACTTGAAATTTTCTTGTATCGACTGGTTTTATTTTTCTACGACGTATCTTAACATGTATTTAAGAACACGAACACGGAGTCTGTATTATTTCTTTCGACAGATATATTAAGATAGATAGTTCGTGCTCCACATATAAATTATATAATATACTCTATTAAGGAGGTTATCGGTTATATTAGATGGAAAACACGCATTAGGTGTCTTTCTTTCAATAAATTACTTGTACGCAAAATTTGTTTTTCAGAAGTGCGGGGGGTTGGATGGCCGAATGGTTAGCACGTACGCGCTGCGCGCTGTATCATAAGGCCTGTCATTGAGTCAACTGGCGTGGTTTCGAATCCCCGGTTGTACGTGACAAGGAGTAGGATCACTTGTCCATCCTCGTGGGTTTTCTCCGGGTCCCCCGGTTTCCTCCCACTGCTAAATACCCCTACGCGCAAGCGAATTATTGAAATAAAATTAAACCATATGTTAGTCCCGAAATGTCCTAGTTTGTGTCGAGTGGACGTTAAACCCCATTTACTCCGCACGTGCAATAAAAGAACTCACCCGAACTATCAATCTTGACACGACACGCTTGGCAATGTCAATTTTGATAATAATAAAATAATAATACGAACCGGAGAAATAGCTCGCCTAATAATAGTAGTTTTCTATGTTGAAAATAAAATGGGGAAAAAGTTAAACGAAATGGAATAGGGTTTAAGCTCCTTCTCTTCTGCTAATTGGTAAGTGGTATAAGATGTTCCAGTATGACACACATGGAAATCAGTTGTTGAAACGCTAATAAGCATAATGAATAGCCATGTATAATTACCATGAGCAGCAATCATAAAGGCGGAATATCACTTAAAACACCCAATTATTGATACCGGTAGAGTTGTAGACAGTCTATTATATAAAGCCAACTAATTTAGTTTCATAACACTTTCCCAGATTTTATATCCCTTCCTTAAAGGGACACTCTTGCTGGCTTGACAGCTCCAGAAAATAAAAAATAGCCTTATTCTAAGTACTAGATTTGTTAGTGTCTACCTGTTGTGTAAATTATCCATTAAATCCTATTTTACTTGTTTAGAGGGTTCAAAAATATTTTTTAAATCCAAGTCGCAGGCTTTTCAAATCATTTAGTTGAATTTTTCCAATTTTTTAAATTAGGTATGTTAAGATGAAATTTGTATCATCAATTAATTGGAATATTATAAAATAGTGCAATTTGTTGACCAGAATAAATATTGGGACATATTATTCAGTTACAACAAGAGTGGTATTGAGCCTTTAATTTCTGACTTATTTAGGTGTCTTTTTTATGACAAGATATGAAACTATTTTCTAGGCTTATGAATCCGGTTATCCTTTATATGTTCAATATACAATAGGTTCTTAAAGTGTGTTGATATCGCTTTCATATACAAAGAATGTATTAAGATTAATTATAGAGATGACGATATGTTGTAATGCAATGAAGGTGTTTGTAGTCCCAAGACTACATGGGTAATGACGACTGCGGGATTTCCAGAAGGGATGGATGTGATGTGTCACAAAACTTGAAAGATAATGTTTAAGAAGACATAATTTCTACACACCAAACCCCTACTTTACTTATTGGATGTGTGTGTGTGTGTGTGTTGGGGTGGGGGACAGATTGATTTCCTAAGATTGCTACACGTATAAAAAGTGTATTTAAGTCTAAAAAATATTTAAATTCCGTGCAAAATGAGGTCCGGTTGAAATAAAATATAAATAACAAAATGGTGAAAATTCTTATCGTCTTGCAGACTGCTTTAAATTAAAGTCTATACATCATGATCCACGGATTGTGGCTCATATAGTGTGAGATTTAATGACGGTGTCGACATTTATACAATTACTTGATAAGGTCCCTCGTCGACACTAAGGCTTGTCTTCCGTACACACCTTTGATGTGATGAATGTTTAAGTTTGCGATTCCTTCATCGTCTGGACCAATATATCGAATCGAATTAATCATTCTGTATTCTTGACAGTCGTATCGGCGTGCCCTGGAGAAATTATCTAAGTAAATATTTAATTTCCAACTTTTAGTTAAGATAAGCTGTATAGAAGTAAACTGGTAATCCCATTATGTCACGTTCTTTATCTATTATTCATTAATCTACATATGACAGCAACCGTTGATCTGAATAATTTGCCATATTGGACTTAAAGACTCCATCTATTCTTTCGGAATCGCATTTAGTAACTTAGCTTACATAGGGCAGGATTTGTATTATGAATAATATATTATATAAGTTAGTAATTAGAATAGACGTGTCACATTGTCACACGTCATCAGGGATTTTGTTATACAAGATACATTCACTAATGACTTTCTTGAAAATCGACCAATTCTAGTGAATTCTGAAAAATAACGTCCAACTGTTAAGGGTTCTTTTACGTGCATGTCAATGAGGGGCAGTTTGCCCGGACAACGACCTATGTTAAGGGTTCTCTTACGTGCACGTCAACGTGCACACATGACCTCGGGTTTTTGTCCCATCCAAACGAATAGACAAGGTGAAACTACGGCGGGAATTCTGAACTAGCACAACTCCATTATGACATTATTACTTCTTAATGTTCTATGAAGATTACACAAGATCTGAGATATAGTAGGTATGGGCGATGGCCCGTTGCCTATAAATTAAACCTCACTGTTAAGAATAAACAAAAGGCACACTTCTATGGAATACAATTGTTCTTCCCCTGCTTTATAAAAGGCTAGAAAATCTGAAAACTATTTACACTAGCCCTCAATAAAGTGTCTGTACAGAGTCTTGAATCACTTCAAGATCCAAGTCATGAGTTTTCAGCTCCATGCACTCTTCACTTTGTATTTCAGTTGAATTACACTTGGACTTGAAATCATATTTACTGACCGCCCTAATCATTAGCCAAGACAACTGACAACATCAAGCTTTCTTATTGATGTCCGAGAAATTCGATGCTTTACAGTACTGGCCGCTCAGATATCAGCAGAATGTCCTTATTGTTTACCATTAAAACCAGCCACTTATTGCTTGATTGTCTGCTGTTACCTTAGCTCTTGCAATCAAATCTGAGGGGCCCCAGCCTATAATTTAAACATTTGACTATTAACAAATCCAATGAAATGAAATGGGTTTAACGCCTTACTGTTCTGTATCGAATGGGGAAATGAAGACGGACATATGACATACAGTGGGCTACTGGGGGAATTATGCCCAGTAAACGGCATTATAGTGTACTCTATACAGAATCCCAACTGTCAAGCGTTCATTTAAATACACACCATTGTGTACGCGGGACCTTGGTTTTGTTTTTCGTCCCATCCAAACTACTATATTATAAGGGTCAGAACGTTACTTTCTCACGTGTTAGTCTAGGCACTGGTGTTTTTATTTTGAATTACTCGAAAGAGTTTCCTCGATATTATATATTTCCCCTTTCTTCCAATAATAATTTTAAGTAAAACCGTGTATTTGAGAGTACATTGTACGTGCCATAAAACACGTTTTAGTTTTTATCTAAATGTAACATTCCGCTTTAATCCAATATATTTCATTCTGATGTCAACTTATAGGCTTTCTTGGCGTGATATGAAGAAATGTCTTATTTCTAGTAGACAAGAAACAAGTTGATGTTTATTCTTGTAAGAATCTATTTTCTGTAATATTTTATGATGTGTTCAGTTGTTCGAAATTTCCACTTTGGTAGAATCAATAACGTCAAAGTTTTATTAATGGCTAAATGATTTCAAATTTCAGTGTAATATCTCGTTTTAAAAAGTTTGTATATTATAAAAAAATGTCATCTTGCAGGCTTTCTTTAAAGATGTATTATGTAAGAGCTAAATCTGCATATTGCAAGTCGTTACTTTCAAATGTTATATAAACTATTATTTAGACATTAAATGAAATGAAATGGGGTTTTAACGTCCTACTGTTCTGCTCCGTACTGGGCTAATGAAGACGGGCATATGCCATACAGTGTTCTATGAGGGAAATTTTGCACGGACAGCGGCACTACGGCCTACTCTTATATCGAATTCCAACTGTCAAGGGACTTTTTACGTGCACGCCAATGTGTACACGGGATCTCGTTTTTTCGTCCTATTCGAACCACTAGACAGCTGAGTTTAAATATAATTATTGACTGGTATTTTACCACTTCAAAGCCAAATTTGTCCATTTTGTCGAAAATACCGACATTAAATTTACTGTTAATTATATTTTAATTTATACATGTCAAGACTAGTTATAGTGAAAGAATTTTCGTTATTTATTATTAATTCTGGGGGGTATATTTC